GCCTTTTTCCATCCCGGAGTCCTGAGCTGTTACACGCCGGTCAGGTCCAAACACTGACTGTGAACTGTAATCTGGGATTTTCAATAACACAAACATAATGCCTCATGCCATGTGAGATTCCACTTGTTAACAGCTCCCTTAAGATTACTAAAACATGTTTACATTATGTTTGGCATTTCTTTAACAAATAATTTTAATTCATTTTAAAAATCTGAGTTCTAATGTAAATTGCTTCACAGATGAACTGCTCTCTTTGAAAGGTTCATTCATGGCCATAACTTTAACAAGAAAGGGAACATTTCCTAATTAATGCTTTAAGTATATATATAGCTTTCTAGATAATGTCTCCAAAAAAATTTCTCTCTCTCTCTTCTCTCTCTCTCTCTCTCTCTCTCTCTCTCTCTCACACACACACACACACACACACACAGAGAGGGATGTTCTCTGCCAGACATCAAGACTTTTTAAAAGGGTCACAGTCCAGTGACATCGCTCAACAGTACAGATCTTACTTTTTTAAAGTGTGGAAAGTAAAAACTTCTTTCTTGAGAGCCCACTCATCATTCTCATGCCCTGCCTGCGTGGTCAGTTTCTGAGGGTTTGGACAGATGCACTCACTCTCCCAGAGAGCTGGCTGTGTGGACAGTGAGTGTCCATCAAGTGCCAGGCAGATGCCAGGCTGAGCACTGGGCAGCCTCCTGCTCTTGGTGGGGGCACAACTTCCTGAAGCAGGTCTCATTTTAGTGACGAGGAACCCAAGCAGAAAGAAGTGAATTCTCTGCCTCAAGACGACAAAATGACAGAGGAGCAGCACCAAGGTGAGACCTGCATGACTCTCCCAAACCACATCCCGCCCAAAAGCTCAGCCTAATTCTGTGACCCAAACAAGGGCCTTGGGAGGCTGCACCATGGGAGTGCACGATGCAGGTGTGGCCAGCAGGCCGAGAGCCCTGAATGGGTGCTTCACCTCTCACTGCTCACCCCTACTTTGAGTGCCTGGCATCACAGAGCATAGTGGGGGTAGGAGGAGCCCTACAATCCTTTCTCTGACAACGAGAAAATGGGAGATTCAGGAGCATTAGGTCCGACATGGCTGCAAGGCCCCATGGAGAAAGGCCTCTCTGTTGCTGGCAGAGGCTGGCTTGACATCCCAGGCGGCTCCCAGCAGGGCCTCCCGGCACTGAAGAGCTGTAAATGACCCTCCAGGACAGGGCTCCTTATCACCCCAACCTTCCTTGCAAGGACAACGTAAAGACACACGGTAAAAGGTTCATTTTAAAATACTGAAAGAAAGAAGACAGCAGCATGTAGTAGTATAAGAAATCACCTACACTTCCTATGATCAGATTGCAGACAAGAGATATCAGCACAGTTTGAATTTGTTTAATTAATAGTGTGACTTGCAGTGACAAGAATCATCTGGAACAAAGCCATAAACACATGTGAATAGCTGAAAGAACAGCCTCAGACCCACGTATCTTTCTCTGAGGAGGGACCCCTGCCCAGAGCCCGTGACCGGAATCAGTGACAGCATCTCGATTTCAACCCCAACCAATTTGGCCATCTGCCTTCCCCACAAAACAGTGGATTGGATGAAGAATGAGGAATGATCATGGCAAGAAGATATGCATGGCTGAAAACAGGGAAGAGAACAGGAAATGGCTGAACACACCACACAGCTCAGTGCTGCCTTGAATCTGCCCACCGTCCCTTGAATGTGGCTTCCAACCAAACCTCTGGTTCTCCACGGGTCTGCAAATTGTTCATCTTTCCGGATCCTTCCTTCTCATGACTGGGAAGCAACGGACACTGCTGCCCTAAGCCCTTGGGTCTGTAAAGTATCAGGCGTTCACGCACTCTCATCAGACGCACAGCAGACCTGCTAAGTGCCACACCCCTGCATGGGATGGAACAAGGATCTCTTGCTATTTAATTTGAGGAAAATATATGACTCAAAAAGCATGGTCCACTGTCAGTATCATGTTACGGGATTGTGTAAATATAGTATAATAAACTCCGCATGACTTACTTGTCGGCTCTCACTCGTGGAAACAAAGTTCACTGTGAACTTCACTTTAAAAATCCTACCACCAGCAGTTGCAGTGCTCAGCACAGCACACACTTCCTTCCCCTCTCCTGCCAGGTAACAAACGGAGAGGTGCTTTCACAGCACCTGTGCACTGACTTAGAAAACAGCCAACACAAGCAAGAGCAGCGATACACATCTTAGAATGAGAAATATCATAATTATTACCATAACCCTAACACAGGAATAGGAGTGGGGAGGGCTTGATGGCCCTGGGCATCGGGAAGAAGTAGTCTAGGTCATCAGCCCCAGTGTGATGTTTAGCTGCTATATAAGGATTTTGAGTGTTGCCGCAAAATCCTTAAATGGCACTTTTGCCTACTGAGTAAGAATTTAATGTGAAGCTGATGAGATATAGTCAGTAGATCTATGAACTCAAAAAGATATATGTAATTTTGCATGTTATTATGTAACTTTTATGTAATATTTAAATTACATGAATAATGAATGTATTTCTTTGTGAGCTTCTACAATTAAGAGGATTTTTTTTTGTTTCCCAGAGTTGAGGTAGCCATTCAAGAACGCTTCCCTCCATAAATGTGGAGTGAGCCTGGTGTCAGTAAATCAAACAAGGACACACACAGCAGAACTGGGAACTGGGAGCAGCTGTCTGGAGCATTACACTAGGGAAGATTCTGCTTGGAGAAAGAGCCCTAGACCCCCAGGGACTGTCCTCTTGTGGGCAGGAGAAAGGGAAGGGCGAGGAGATAAAGAGACAGAGACAGAGGTGGTGGGGGAAGAGGGGAGAAAGTGGGATGACAGGCACTCCTGCCTCCAGCACTGCTGTGTTTCTTAGTCAGCCCTACCCGTGACATCAAGCTAAGCGGGGTGTGCTGTCTTGCAAAACATCATTCTGTTTCACAAGTACTTGGTAAATTTAGAAAACAAAGCTTTTATGAGAAGAATAACTTAATAGGAGCAAGAACTGGACAGATGATAAAGTAACAAAAAAACTATTTCCACAAATGGAAAATAAGAAAGGATTAGCTAAACAGATTTAACAGAAAAAGGCGGCTTCATATGAACACATACTGTTTATTTAAATCAGAAAGCAGAGTGTCCTTTAGAAAAGGTGCCAGATACTAAAATTTCTCTAGCCACATCAGCGTTAGTCCTGCCTTTTTTTAAAGTTGTCTTTAACTGGAGGTCTCGCAAATGTGACTGACAATGAGATTCAGGTGGAGGTGGAGAGGCAGCATGAGATTTTTATAGACAAAAAAAAAAATCAGATGACTAATAAATTATTTATGTAACAGAGAAAGTGATCGGTGCAGTCATTTTATTTATTTGTACTGAGGCTGCTAAGAGAAAGAACTAGTGGGAACTTGGAAGAAGACATGCTTGAACATACATAAATAAGCAGTAAATCATGGCTGCTCGTGGGGAACAGGCCGATGAGGCATGAACACGAACTTAAGCAAGGCAGCAGCACTTGGTGAGTGTGAAGCATGGGAGAGGACAGCAAACACTCGTTTGGGGAATTTTCAGAAGGTGGTTCTTCCCATGTAAACTCAAGGAGTCCTCCTGAGTTGAAAAGTGTGGCTAGAGCTCCTGTGCCTGCGGTACCTGTCCACAAAGACTGGGTCCTCTGCACTCATGATTTATCTGGGATGGTGTTGACTATAATTATATACAGTGACACAATGGTAACAATGTAAAAAATCTGATTATATTTCAAAATCCCTACTGGAATTTTGCTCAGGAGTAGAGACAGAAACAATCAAAAACAAAGAGATAAACTACTGACGGGAACCCACCCTCTCCTGCCCCAGCCGGGACATCTCTTGCCTGACGGAGAGAGAAGCCGCTGCGAACTGACTTCTACTGGGCCTGGCCAATAACTTCATCACCAAGACAGCTCAGAAAAAAAAAGTGGTGTTTGTTTTTTTTTTTTTTGCATTTCTTTGGCTTTTTGGCTCTTCCAAGACAGCTATGCTATATTTATATATTAATACTGCTTCAGGACTCTGATTAAAACCTCATGTGTGTGTTCAAGATGAAACTTTCGAACTAAGAAATTCCAATTTAAACAAATGCTTTAAGGTCTGTCGCAATTCTCCCAAGGCACTCTGGGGGTTCAAACAGAAAGTCCAAGGGGCGAAACTATTCTTTCACTTCCCAGCCCAGCAATACAATACACGGTCTCCACACCCATTCACGGCAGACGTTGCGCCCTCACCAGGGACAAGAATGCACACAGGTGTTTCGAAGGGGAGTGTGTAAATGGTTTTGAGAATAACAACTATTATTATCTTGACAGGCAATGGGCTCTGTGTTTATGGTTCATACGTTATGTTTTATAAAAAAGGAAGATCATCCAGACTCTCTTTCATAATTATTCAGAGGTTACATTCACTTTCATTGGTTATGTTTTCAAAAAGATGTGAAAATTTTAATCCTCGAATTTACCAGCAATTTCACTCAATCTTAGAAAGCAAATCACTCTCTAGAAACCCTCACAGTTGGCGTACTTCATTTTGTAAAGACAATTCATATCAAGTGTGCCCCATGACTGCTTCAGTTACTTTTTGTCCAAAACTAAAAAAAAAAAGGCAGTGGATGGAGTTTGACAGTAATATTCATGAACAAAACCTACTTTATTCTAATATACGGCTACTGATCAAACACGGTCTTTGACAACATTTATGTCAATTTACAGAAAACAGTGATAAACAAATGGGGGGGTTCACCTGTAGGGCAAAAGAGCTACCTGGAACCCCACAAAGAAACAGATGTAGCCCAGGGCCCTGCAGTCCACAAGCCCAGGGTGTCCCTGGCCACCACAGTAAAGCCAGTATTTCCCCAGGGCTGACACTGCACCACCCTCCTCTTCCCGCTCCCTCCCTCCTGTGGCAATGTAATGTCTGATCCACCACAGCAAGCAGGCATGAAGTGAAGGCAGGTGAACACTTACCTGCCCATCCTGTCCCACGTGGTGTATCTGTAGATTGCCCTGAAAAATGAATGAAAAAAAGAAAGATCAAGGACAAAAAGGACTTCAAGACATAATTAGACAGAAGTAGGAACCCCTCTGTACCGTGTGTGAAAAACCAATAAAACCATTAACATCAATTCTAGAAAAACCCAACCCCTTGTAGCAATAAAAACCCCAAAACAAAATATTTAGCTGAGTTTACAGGTACTAATTTTTCTTATAAAAACAAACTCAAAAATACATTGTACCCTCCCACCCTGACCCCAAATGAAAATGTCATTTTTTTTTCCTTTCTTTTATTTATTTTGAAACAATTTTAGATTCACAAGAAGAATCGAAAGTGGTATAGAGAGATCCCATGTACCCATCACCCAGCTTCCCCCAATGGGGACACCTAACATAATTATAGCGCATTATCACAACCTGGAAATTGACAGGACACAATGCAATTAACTAGACCACAGGCCCAGTGGGATCTCGCCAGTTGAAAATTCATTTTCACTTGTTTAAAAAAAATAATTGCTTTAAGTCTGGCAGGTTCTGCTAAATGTCTCTGCAGATATCCTCATCTGACAAAACAACTTAATTTTTAAATGAACAAGGTAAGATTTTATTATAATAAGAAGACAACTGCGTATTGTAACTTACTACAAATTATCAGTATTATCAGCAATTTATTCTAATTCAATGCATTCAATTCCTAGTGGAAACAAAAAATTCTAGATTATATACGCAAGGGAGATTCAGTTATGAAAACTGGGGGGGAAAGGGCAAAACTGATTAAAAAACTGAAATTCAAGAAGTATTCTAATGACCTGTTAGCAAAAACAATATAAAAGCAAATGTATGTTGATTTTTCCTTCCTTTCAAATGGCTACTTGTGAATTAAGCGTTCTGAGTGTGGGCCTTCGAAAATAACACCTTAAATTGTTAGTTTGGCCTCCATTTATGTGCCTTTAAAAATGCAGCCTCCCTGCCCCTCAACGGGACGCCCCAATTAGCCTGCAGGTCTCCTGCACTACTTCTCTGCACCTCCAATATAACCCATTTTAGTTTGATTCCTCTCCCATCACCATTCAGCTCCTTAACTTTCACAGGCCTTCCAGGGCCATCTCAAAGTTCACTGTCTGCTGCTCTCCTTCCCCTGTCCACTGCTTCGGCCACCCATCAGCTTTCTCCCATTCACTCGTTTGGCCATGTGCCAATCAGTGAACTAATTATTCCTATGAATGAATCAACCCCGTGCCCCATTTGACCAAGTATTTATTTTTCCTCTCATAGGAATTCACTCAGCCAAGTATCCTCATCTTCCCTTCAGAACCTCTGTTCTTCTCTTCCTTTTGCACACTGGGCCCACCGATAAGCCTGCAGGGTCCAAATGAAAGCACTTCCCTCATAAAGCATCCCAGGGCCCCTGTTCCATGAGTCTTGTGTTCTCTGCACCACTGAGTACATCACCTCTGGCCTTCCTGGCACAGTTATCTCCCCTACACTGTCAGGAGCCTCTAACTCACATGCTCGCCACAGTGGCAACAGCCAGCACAGCAACCTGCACAGGATGGGAGCTCAGCAAGCACCTCGAACACAAGTCAGTGTGCAAATTACCACCACCTCCACCCCAGCCCCCTGGGTTCTGGGAACTGAAAAGTCAAAAGGCACTAACATCCTATCTACTTCTTAGGTTGCCACTAAAATACAAGGAGAAATGTCCACAAAGCAACTCTAAAAAGTCACCAGGCACCACTAAACCAGGCAAACACTTCCCTCGAGAGAGTCTCTTGAAAGGCTCTTTGATGAGTCAGGACTTTCTCAGTCGCTGGTGGGTCTATACCTGCTTTCGATGTTGGAGTGTGGGGAAACCTGACACCCGTGTGACGACACACCACAGGGCAGGGCAGGCACAAAGGTGGTACTACCTTCATGGCCTATATAGAAATATATTCTTCAGCTCCCAGCCCGCACTGCTAGGGGGGGTGCCGTTCCACACACGTTTGGCCAGCAGAACGTGTGTGCACTGCTCAGCATCCACTGGACAAAGGCAGAGGAAGCCAAGTGCACTGAGTCTGCTGACAGTCTCCTATGCTGTAGGAAACGGTCAATAGCGTCCCTGCAACAAGTGGCCACCACCACCCAGCCCTGCACAGAACGACTGAAAAGAGAAGGTCCCACCTGAGAGGCTCACAGACCATCAGAACCATGACCTGCTGGCCTCATCTTCCAATGACTGTCTGAGTCAACCTGACCTTCACGCACCAACCGCCTACAGCAGCTGATATGCACATGGAGTAGCACTTGTACAGCTGGGTAAGACCCCCTGCATTCTCTCTTTATCGTAGATTAGAATTAATGAAAAGTGGAATGTCAAAGTACTGACTCCAGTGATAAGAAGCCTGGATTTCATGAACTTAAGGCCATCCAAGAAGCAGCAGTTGTGCAAAGGGCCATGAAAGTTGCACTGAAAGCTTACATGATATACACGTGCTTTCTCACCAGCTTCCCAGCCATCCCACAAGACGGGCATTAGTCTCACAGTGCAGAGACAGAGCCAAGGCTCAGGAGGTGAGGAGAACTTGTGAGGTCACAGTTGCTAGGGCAGGGCCCCACCTCCTGTTCTTCCCACTCCAGCACACTGGGGAGCTCCCTGGTGGGAGAGCAGGACCAAAGCTGTGCTGGGAGCTTGGTCTGCATCTCAGATAGGAAGATGGGAAGCAGAATGGTCAAAGAGGAAAGGGGTGTTCAGAGGGCAGCTCCAGCCAGGAGCAAAAACCTCCATACAGCAAATATTTACAAAGAAAACCAGATGGGGTTGCCCAGATAAGCTGGCGGTGCAGCAAGGGCAGGAAGGCGGGCAGGGCCTGCAGTTTGTGCCCAAGGAAGCAAGAGTCCGGTGGTCAATGCTGGATATCCGCGTTGTCTGGAGACTCCCAGCTGTCCACCTCATTTGACAAAGATCAGAGTGCAGGGAGCCCAAGGGCACGGAGCGTGCCTTGGGCAGTGTGGGCGGCTATGACTCACCTCGCTGTCCTGTGTAATCTGCACCTGCTCCCCTTGAGGCACCTGAGCGATGTGGAGGTGACCCTGTGGGATCCGCAGCAAGAGAAGACAACAAGAAGCATCAGAAGAAAATCAAAATCAGAGGAAACAAGAAACACATTCCGAAATTTTTGTTCTTGATTATCTGGCTCATGGTTTGAGAAAACACAACATAATATGTGTGTGGTATAAGCTATTTAATCACCTCTTGAAATTCAATGTTTAGTATGGAACACATGTTGCAGTAATTCTTAAAAAAGCAATAGGGCCCAGGAAAATTCTGTTAAATCTTTAAATGTTACCAAACAAGTGAATTCAGAATGTGAAGGACATATAGAAAAGGAAAACAGAAAATTTCCAGAAAATTAGAATAACGTTTTAAAAAATTTAAAAAAATCATACTATCAACTCAGAGGGACCAGAAGCCGAATAACTACCAGGCACGGTCTCCCAGTGATCTAGGAGGGCTGGATGGCTACACAGGGTGTGGGTCGAGGGGAGGGGAGTGGTATATGTGTATCTACACTGAAAACTTGTCAGGCAATTTTTTTTAAATCAAAGAAACACACGATTATTTAAACAGCTGGAGTACACCCTAATAAATGTGGTTCCAAAAAAAAATCAAAGCATCCAACTACGATGCATTTATGTTTATAGATATAGGCAGACAATTAATTCCTATAAACCTTAACTTCGCTCAGTGAAATGAATACTCATGATCTTATTTAGTACGCTACCTTAATATTCCTAAAATTAACTACTGTAGAATTTTCTATTGCTTCCATTTGACTATATCTACGTGAACCTTGTACCAAGTTATCTATTCTGGAATTCTTTCACAGAACTTTCTTACTAATAAGATAAGAGCCTTTGTGACTGTCAATTAAAGAAAGAATTCACTATTTATAACTCTTTCATCTTCTCTGGAAGAAGAAAAACCCCATTTAAAAGTCCTCATCAGCACTCTCTGGAAGCCACCCCTCTCCAGGCAGTGTGCTGAGTGCAGCATCAAACTGGGGCCATCCGGGGATGGGAACTAGGGCTCCAGGAGGACGCCCTGGCAATGAAGGTGTACAACCAAGAGGCTGAGTGTGACCCAAACATCAACGGGACCCCACAGGCACATTGAAAATGATCTATTCCCTAGCTAAGTTCCTGCCCCCTCCCCAACCTCGGCCACAGGATCCCTGAAGGGCCTAGAGAAATTCCCATTGGGCCAGCACCACCAGAGGCAGAGCGGTGTTGTGGGCTCACCTCTGAGCTAACTGGCCACATTAGATCAACACTCGACCCACAATCCAAAGGAAGCGCTACACAGTGACTAAGGCCACCAGCTTTTCCCTCTCACACCAGAAGGAAATGACCTTTTCCTCCCCCAGTGAAAGGGTGCCCGTGTTTCCGAAATGAGAAAATACTATGACACATCTATGACGCCTCCCAGGAGGGCAGAGAGCAGCAGGGACCCTCAGAGCTGACAGTGAACACTGGGTGCAACACAGCAGGGGACCACAAAGGGCCCATGACAATGACGCAGTCACACGGTATCCACCCTCATTACAAAATAGAAAAGCTCACACCCCTAACTGCTACTACTTTATGGCACTTTTCCCTCATCCTAAGCTATCCACATGATCCAGAAACCCAGAGAGCTGGTCTCAGCCATCCCCATGCCCACAGGTCTCTCCCCTCCAATTCATTCTAGGAGGCAGACTAGTAGAAGGGTACATACTACTTGGACCTGTCCGTCCTCTCCGATCTGGTGGATCTGGACCTGCTGGGCGTTGGCCAGGGCGTAGTGCAGGGCCTGCGGCGGGGGCTGTGGTATCTCACCAGTGGGTGGCGGCGTGCTCATCATGCTCTCTGCGGAGAAACAGATGGTGCTCAGCATCGGCCTGGCAGACAAGCCAGGCATGCACACCTCTGTCTGCCTTCTCTGCCCAGAGCCCAAACTCCCTCAGGGGAAAGGAAATTCTTCATTCCAAGACCCAAGTCAACATGCCCCAGTGGAGAGCACAGCATTCTGCAGAACTCGTTAGGATTAAGTGTTAGACAAAAAGATTTCTGACCTGTAGAGAAAAGCAATCTAAAAAATTATTATTCACCAACACAGATGATTCTCATCTAATTATTTAAATGAAGTTCCTTAAGATGTATCAACAAAATGAAAAATAGGAATAAGTTGATATTAAACTGCTTTAGATAAGCAATAAATAATAGTTTTCCTTGGATAATTTATGGAAAAAGCTCTGCCCACTCATTTAAAGATACACTTCCAATAAAATTTTACTTTCTATGTGTAATCCCAAAATGAGATACATTGGTTTTGATCTTGTGTATTAATTTTAACTATAATGATATCTCAATCAAAAGAATTTTCTTAAACACTTAGAACATTAAGGGCTCAGAAAAAATTTTTAATTTTCATATATTTTTGTTGTAGAAAATTATGATGGCTTTATCAATAAAAAACTTTTAAACATAAAATCATTACATTAAGATGAAATTCTGTGAGAGAATTAGAATAGTAACATGGATGGAAGAAGAAAAGACGTGAAATGTCTGATTCTCCAAGAAAAACTTTTGGTGTATTTTTATTTTAAATAACTTAATGGTGAACATCAAACTGACTTAATATAAGTTAAATAACTTAATGGTGAACATCAAATTGACTTAATATATAGACTCTACTGCATGCATTTTTAAATACAGCAACATGCCAGAAATTATATCCTTTTAAATTATTTCAAGTATAATGAAAAATTTTAGGTGTCAACATTTTCAAATGTCAACTTAAAAATACACAAAAAAGAATACACTTTTTCAAAATTCTTTAAGAGGATACATGACTAAAACATTTAAAACCCACTCTGCTAGTTAACAAGGACTGTATAACTAAATAGATTTCCAAATAATTTCTGCTCCAATGTTAATAAAAATCAACTGATTTTGCTAGTTTTCAAAACTGTAACCAAGAATGACAGTCCCCCAGGGTTCTAAAAATGCCGCAGAAAATATGACTTGTGGGTATGACGTAAATGGTTTCCAAATCTAAGATTTACTTCATTGAACTTACCATTTAATTAGTAACTCACTATAATTATACAATATAAAGACCAATTTAAATCCATATTTTGCAATTATACTGATATCAATGTCCAGTGCAAAAACTTGCATTGGTGACTTGTGATCAAGAACAGACCAAAACCCATGGCAAATGACCAGAGAGGAAAATGCTCATGCTGCCATGAGGCCAAGGGATAGCACTGAGGACACTGTGGACCACACTGCCCACTCGAAGAGAGTGAAACAAAAACGGCAGGGTACCCAATGGGCCCTCCTCCCCTCCCTGGCCGGGCTCTTCCTCTGTGTCCAGAGGGAGGAAAACCAGCCACACACCCAGATTTTCAGGCAGCGATTGTCAAGAGCTAGTTCTCTGTAACTCTAAATACTGGGCACTAAATAGACGCCCACCTAAGGTCTTCGACTCACCAATGGCATCTGTGGGGGAAAATGCTGAATTGTATTTTAAACAACAAAATGTAGCCATCTTAAACTCAAGCACATATAAAAGTTTATGCAGTATTGCCAGTTAGGAGAGTGCAATATAATGTTTTAATAAATTGATTTTTTTTCAATCCCTTGAAACCAGTGGTTTCATGGTTTGTGTTCAAACCTTGGCTCAGAATCTCATTTACAGCATTTATTTGGAAGTTCCTTTTTTGTCTGCTGATAATTCAAAAATAAATAAGAAATTCCTCCAAGTGGAATAACTAGCAATTCCAAATTAATGGAATCCTGGCTTAATTACATCGTACTGGATTATTTGTCATGAGAACAGCCTTAAATATCAGATTTATCAGGCCAAGAGTGTGCAAAAAGAACAATGACAAAAATTCCAGAAATCCCTTTGACTAACCACCTATTTTGCTTTACCTCATTTTAGCCAAGTATGCAGTATATTAAAATAAAGAACAATTAAATCAACAGACATTTATGAAGCAATGTATTTTTTTTTAGGTTTGATAAAAGCAGAATATGTTTTATGTGTCTCTCAAAACAAACTTGATTCCAGTGCCTGCGAGGTGGCGGCCCTCAGACCAGGAGCCTCTGGTCTCTGGCAAACTGAGCAGGAAGGCAGCACGTGCCAGGGTGTATTAGTAGAAGCATGAGACTAATATAACAGCTCAGAAATTCATTCTCCATCCTCTCTAGACAAACACTTAAAGGCCAAGGGACTATAACTATGCTCATCTCCCTCACGTGGTTTTTTTAAAAGCCCCACCTTGCATGCCACCCTCCTCCCTACCTACCCATGGCTGTGTCTGAACACCTGGCACAAAGTCCAAGGCCCAGGCAGCAGTGCCTCACATGTACAACAGTATCTGTCTTCTGAGAGCTGGAAGACAGCTGACTACACAGGAAAACAAGGACAGCCCTGTGCTTGGGCACAAGTGCAGCATGCACCTGAGGAGATGGCCCATCACTCAGGCCATGAAAGGTGCTGCTAGATTGTTGTTCTACCAAAACCACCTGGGGTCAGCCACATGATGGGGTTTCTTAGAGGCTATTCCAACAGACATATCCTGAGTCACTGAGCTCACGGTCCCACAGCTGAGCCTGCCAAGGGACACAGGCACTGCAGATAAGCTCACCTAGCGGCTGTTCACCATCCATGAGAGACCAATGGCACCCAAGAGTCATGCAAACCCACAGCATCTTAGAGGAAATGCTGATATGTTTACACACAAGGAGACAAAGTAAATGCAAAAATGCAACTACCATTAAACTGAACTATTGTCATTCGATTGGAAGAAACACTAATAACTAGAAAAGAAACAAACAATAAAGAAAATAAGTGTAAAAGTAAATTATGAAATCACCAGCCACATAACAGAGGTCAGAGCTGAGAGGAAGGTAAAGACCACTTGAGTCTCCAAACACAAAAGCAAAAGTGGATTAAAGGCTAGCAGCCTGACAACCCAATCATGACTTAAGGGACTAAGCAGCACCTTGCCACTCCCATGTGGTCTAGACCAGTGGGAGGCACCGCTCGGGCATTTCTTAGAAATGTAGTGTCAGGCCACTCATCGGATGTACTCGATCAGGATCTGAATGTAACACGATTCCAAGAGGCCCGCTTACACAGCCTGGAGAAGCACCTCCAGAGACAGGGACACCGTGACCACAGCAATCTCTCCCAGGGGAGAGCTCTCATATTAGATGATTCTTCCTTGTGCATTCACAACATACACTGAGTGCTAACCGTGTGTCTGGCCCTGTGGTAGGTCATGTGAACCCCAGGTTGGAGAGGACAAAACCCCAGCCAGGTTGAAACCTACCTCCCTAAATATATCTTCCTACACCTAACCTCTTAGGGCCCACAAACCAGTCTAACTCTTCGAGGAGCCACTGTTTCGGCATGCCCCACGACTGTGACCTAAGCTCTGCAGACAGAATTCCTAACTAAGAGAAAGGCCTAGATTTCTCACAAGAGATTTTCAACACGGGCCACTCACAAGGCACTGCTAGGGGCACGACTTGTGTGGCCCACACGAGCTGGCCACCTCCCATCTTCAAGAATCACTGGCAAGTTAAGACTAAGTATCTGGTAACTACCAAAACAACCAGGAGGAAACCACTTCCTGAGGTCTGGTTCAGAGAGAACAAAACCCTACAAGGACTTCAGGTAACCTGGTCTGTCACTGCAGTGTTTCCAGAACAGGCGTTCGGGCTGACCCCACCCACTGCTGCCTCTGAATCTCGACCCCAACCCCAAACAGGGCTCAGGTTCCAAGCCACTGCAAAAGGAGCCACTGTGGGAGTTTAGAAAAAAGATGTTTTTGTTAAAATATTTTGGGATGTCTTGGGTGAAAAGCAATACTAAGGTCATATTGTTATTCCTTGTGAACATTTTCCTTCCATGCCTGAAAAGAAAGCCTGAGAAAATTTTTTTTCCTATTATCTTGCAGGTAAGTCTAAAGTCAAAACAAGTAATAAAGAGTACTGCAATTCGGTGTTCGCCCCTAACACTTCCCCTGCAGTCACCATACAAATAATGATAACAAGCCAGAAACGTAGTAAAATAAGTAGGCAGAGGGAGGAAGTGAAGCAGCTGCTCAGCACAGCACCTGACATGGTCTTGACTGAACTCAGCACCCACGTGGCATCAGTGTGCGGTGGCTCTGGTCTATATGTCCTCTTCTACTGCCACAGAGAGCCTCCAGCAGGTCTGGCTGAAGCTCACCACCTGTCACATGAGCAGCGTTCCCTAAATAACTTACATTGCACATGTGTGCACAGAATTAAGGCTCAAATCGCTGGGTCCCGAGTGGCAGCTATAGATTCTACAGGGGAGCAGCCTCACTCGGGACTGCGCCCTCGCCCCCCACAATAACGCAAACTGCTCCAGGCTGCTCTCCCAAGCGTACCTGACGTGCTATACGAGGATGAGGACGGCGTTCTCCGAGAGAAGCTCTTGACAGCCAGGCTCTGGCCTCGCTGTTTCCGCCGCCAGGCTGTCCGGCATTTGGAGTCAATGCTCTGTTTGATTCTATACCAGTCAGATTCTGTGATTCCAAATTTATAGAAGAGGTGACCTGGAAGAACACATCCCAAATAAAAGCACCGTGAGATGAAGACATTCCTCTTGGGTTCGGGTTGTTTGGGAGCTGAGAGCCGCCCCGACAGACATGCTGGTTATATGTTATAAATTCTTTTTATTTATTTAACTTTTAAATAACTCTGACTGGATCCACCCACACCAGACAGAAATAAAACAACAAGCTAGGTGCTGAGGGCTCATACAAGCTTCCCAAACACTCCACAATCAAACTCTTTTCTGTACTCTAACTTCACAGAAGGCATTTAACATCCTGGATGTCGAGAATAAAATCAAGGATTCCTACAATTTTGTCAAAACTGCTTTTCCAAACTCCAGCTATAGTCCTTCTGTTCATTCATGTCTGCCTGGCTGTCTCCCACCCTTCTTTCAAGTCTTGACTCAAATATGCCCTTAAAAATCCTACCCTTCAACAGCCCATTTGACCCCAAGGTCCCTTCCAACTCCACCTCTGTCCTGGGTCTCTAAAATTTTAGAGAATTTATATATTTATTTTGTTTACTCTGTTTCCCTCACAGACACAGGGATCTTTGTTTTGTTCACCAGTATATGCCAAGAATACAGTCTATCTGGGCCCACAGTAGATGCTTCAACATTTATTGACTAAGTGGGGATTACAATTCATCTTAAGACATTTTCCATAAGACATTATCTTAATCATCTTAAGACATTAAAGCTGGCTTATATAATTCTCTGTGCCTCTCCATGTGGCCCCTCAATCAAAATGTAAACTCCTCAAGGGCAGAGGTAATTTTATTCCCTAGAGCCCCCGCACATCCAGGTGCATGGGCACTACCTCCATTCAAATGCTGGCCACAGAGGGTGCACATAGTCTTGTGGTACTCCGATAGCTTATCCCGTACTCAGCTGAGCATCTTATTGGCACCCACATTTGTTAACCATTTACATTAGAGAGCTCTCATTACGTGACTGAACAGCATCCAGAGGCTCGCTTATCAACAAGAAGAAAGGCAGGGATCAGTGAGGCCACTTGGGAGTGGGTGGCAGATGGAGACCCCTCACTGCCAGCCCCGCCCACCTCTCACTAGACCACGCCACCTCTTCTTCGTGCTGAATCAACAGAAAGTAATGGTCATGAACGTGGGAACCACAAGAAACGCTTCTTAACAGGGTGACCTTCTCTCTAGCTGGCTCATGAAACTTCACTGATTAACGGAAAAACAAATGGATGAAATTCAAAAATTGAATAATAAAAAGATTAAGCTGAAAAACTTCCTGTTTTGACTACTAAGCACTGACTTGAGACCATCTACAGAGAATTAACTTTATGCCCAATTCCTCAAATCTGTTATCAAGACCAAAATACTACAAATAATCAAAACCAAGAAGTGTTTTCTTAAGTACTATATTAAATATTGGAAGCTTCTTTTGTCTTAGACATGACAAATAATCAAAACCAAGAAGTGTTTTCTTAAGTATATTGGAAGCTTCTTTTGTCTTAGACATATCTTGACTTTTTCTATGAGCATATATATGCCTAAGACATCTTTGACGCTAATGACAACCAAAAATTTCTGTAATCTAGATAAAAAAGAAATTGAGTTAAGGAAGAGCAGGATTTATAGGATGAGAAAGGACAAAAACTTAAGGTAGTTTCAGCAGCACTTTGCAATCCTCATGCTTAGAAGGAAATACATAAATGAAACAGCAACTCTGCTTTCTGATTTTCAGGTCATCTCTATAATAATCATAGAATCATTAATCAATATTTACTGAGTGATCACTACATGCCAGGGATGGCTTTAGGTGCAGGAGGTGGCCTCCAAGGTTCCAGGCCAATGACCAACTTTAGTGACAAGAGAATCCAACTACTGGCTGTAGTTACAGGGGAACTCAACTATTAACTGTAGTTGTATAATTACAGGAAAACTCAACTATTGACTGTGGTTACAATAGAACTTACTGACTATAATTAGAGAAGAATCCAACTATCAGAACTACAGTTATACAGTTACAAGAGAATCTAACTGCTGACTGTAGTTACAGGGGAACTGAACCACAGACTAGAGTTACAGGACAACACCACTATCAAGAACTACAGTTATATAGTTACAGGAGAACTCAACTACTGACTATAGTTGGAGAGAAGCCTAAATATAACTGTGGTCTCCAAAACAAGAAAAGAAACAGCAATCATACACGCAGTTAAAAATATCTTACTAGATCCATGCTTTGATACAGAGAAACATTTCTACAAACTATGCTTCTGTTCACCTTATACTTTCTCACTCAAGGCAAAAATCTCCCAAATGCCTCTAGGGATTAATGAAATTATATGCAATTTAAAAAACTTTAACAGAAAGGAATATATACAAGATACACAAGGGTATATAAATATAAGAAATGAATGAAAATATTAACATGTAAATTCAACTTTCTAAAAAACCAATTTGCCAGTTCAAAACCTGGCTTACATACTTTGAAGAAAAAATATACATTCATGTAGTTATACACTATCCATTTTTATATTCTCCTAAGACATCATATTACATAATTCCTTCCAACAGCAGCTCAAGATTCCAACTGGATGGCAAATGCCACCCTGATGACTGCCAAGAAAAACTAACTAATGAATCACAAATGTTCCCCTGCTGAGAGGGCCCTGTGGGGGAAGGAAGAGGGGACGGATCCCAATAGGGCAGGAGTGGAGTCAGCTCTGCCCTCGGAGACCCATCATGAGGCATCAGCAGGGAAGGCAGAAACGCTGATGCAGAGCGTGCAGCCTCCTGACTGCACGCGCTACCTGGTGCTGCTGCTTCAACTTTTCCAAAAGTGTTCTTCATTAGAATTTAACTGGTATTTCACACTTGTTGAAGCATTTCATCTAAGTTACTTGATGCTCATAAGAAAACCTCATGAAATAAGAATGTCATGATCTTCATTTCAGTTCCAAGTTGAATTATCAGTTAGGAGTGAGACCCAGCCTTTAAATTCAGGCCTCCCAGCATCCACCGAAGTGGAGAAGAAATGGTATCAAAATAAAACCGAGGAACACCTCACTCGGCCCCTTGACAGAATCCAAGAGCCCCGTTGGGGGACACTCAGGAGACCAGGAAGAAGATAATATCGATCTCACACCGTAGCCTCTGCTCACATGACTCCCCTCAACTAGGCTATGGGCCTGGCTGCCCTGTGTAGGAGACATAGTGTAACTTTAAGGCCATTTCCGGTACGCTGCCCAGTGCACGGGATCTCATCTGGGCGAGCCACTTGGCCCTCTCAGCATCTATGTGGGAGAGCTGTTCAATAAGCCAGTCTCCTGGGCCAACCCCAGAAAGACAGCCCCTGTGAGCCTGCCCCTGGCTACTTTACTGGCTAGCTGTCTGGCCGCCCCCTTAAGATCTGAAAAGAGTCTGTCATTGTTAACTGCCTTCCCACTTTCCAGAACATCCCTGGTTGACATGGGTGGTTCAAATCACAAAATCAGATTCCCAGCTCTCAAATAATGAGCCCCACAGAGGGGCTGAGGCACACTGTGGGAAAATGGAACAGAGAAAAGAAAATGAACAGAGCGCATAATCTCGTGTCCTTGGTGGGTGGCATGAGGCTTATCAGTCACAAAGGAATGAAAAACACTAGTACTGGTAATGTAGCTCAAGTTCAAGGGGAAAGAGAAACAGAAAACTGAGTGCCAGCAATTTATTTTTTAAAAGTACTGTCTTGATGTGATAGTGACTAGCCTAGAAAAACAGCAGACACCTTCAGCCCCCTGAGTTAGGGGCACCTGGCCGGAGTGCGCTCTCACTCTGGGGGAGCCAACACTCCATGTGCCACGCCTGTCCAGAGTGTCCCAGCCTCAGGACCAGCCTCCACAAGCAGTGTTGATCCGCTGACTGGAGATAAGCACAAGGGAGTGACATCACTCCTCAAGTCATCAGGCCACTCGAAGCACAGTGTCCAGGTGACCAGTGAGCAAGGCCCCCGCTATTCTGCATCTTATAGGCCCCTTCTCACCACTAGCCCCACACTGACCAGCTTACTCCCAGCTCTCCAAATGGGTGTCTCAGCATTCCCAAAGACATGTGGTAAGCACCGCAGAGAAGCTATGTGAGACTCAGCATTGGATGACCAAAGTTCTAAATAACCCAGGCCCTGTGTACTTTGCAGAAATGTCCCCCAAAATTCATGTCCTTCCCAGGACCTCAGAATGTGACCTCCCTTGGAAATAGGGTCTTTGCAGATGTGATTAATTACGTTAAGATGAGGTCATACTCGAGTACAGTGGGCTCTAAATCCAATATGATGGATGTCCTTATAAGGAAAGGAAAAGAGACACAGAGAGACACGGGGAGATGGCCGTGTGATGACAGAGGTACAGGGAGAAGAGAGCCCTGTGACAATGGAGATACAGGGAAAAGAAGGCCGTCTGAAGACTGCTGAAGGTGTCATGACACCCAGAGGTGCAGGAAGAGTGGAGACGGAGGGAGGCGTGACAAAGTGGCCAATGGCCACACTCGCCACTACTCAAACTCGGTACTCAGCAGTTTGATTCATTTGTTCATTTGTTGTTTTGTTTTTTGAGTAGCAATCAGCAATACGAAGTAAAGTGAGCCAAAAGGGAAAAAAGTTAACAAATACTTTTAACCTGAAATTTAACACTGAGAGGGCAGTGATTCGCAATGTTTCTGAAGGTGTCTGCTGTTTTTCTAGGCTAGTCACTATCACATCAAGACAGATGAGGGAGAGCTCAGCAGGCAGCAGACTTCCCCATGTACAGGAAAAGAGGACTTGACCATTCTGTTGATGCAGAGCCTTCCACCATGCCATGTGGACTCCCTGGGCACAGCACGTCCCCCTGTCTCCATCCCTGTGTGCTTCTGCTCTGAGTACCACCTGCTAGCTTCCCTACCAGCACTAGAGAACATTCTCCACGCTTCTGCCTAACACCTGTGCGTCACAGCCTGTATCTATGTTCCAAGGCTCCTCTCTAAATCAGAGGCCATCATCCCCACACAGCCCTCGGCCCAATCCAGGCCGCTCTTGGAGCCTCTCCACAAGCACTGCTCTCCACTGGGGCTTCTGCTTCCAACCACCACAGCACGGTCAAATGCCCTGTGACATGTTTTACATGTATCTTACTGCACACTGCTTGGCTGAGAACCACTTCTTGTTCATCTTTACATCCCAACAGCACTTTGCACTGTGGGTCACACCGTCACACACCATCACACGGTATCCTATCACCAAGCAAACCCACATGTTCTAAGGTTGCATGCACATTCCATGCCATGCCCACAGATCTGAGCGGTGCCCACTGCACTGGGCATCATGTTGTAAAGCACGGGTTGGCAGATGATCAGCAGACCCCTGCCTGCTTTTGAAAGTCATGTTTTATTGGAACATGTCCACTCCTACTCATTTATATTTGGTCTGCCTTCAGAGCTGAGTAGTTATGCCTGCAAAGCCTAACGTATCGACTGTGTGTCCCTTAGGAAAAGTCTGCCTACTCCTGCAACACTATTCATCCGGGAATTGCTTTATCCCTATCTGAGGGGCTGATGTCAGCTGGTTACTCATACAGTTTCTCAAAAAGCTACTCGAAGTAATTCTCTGGGTCTGAAAGGCCGACACTCTGCAGTGTCTTTCTCAAGGACAAGGCATCAGGCAATACTTATTAAAGGAAATGTTCGATCCAGAAATCCCTCTCTTTGTTCTGTCACTAGTTCTGATGCCAATATCCTCTCTAATCTAACAGCGGAGGTCCTGACTCCTCCCTGAAACGCTACCTCGTACGGCCCACCCTCCAGCCAGTCTTTCCTCCAACCACAAGCTAAGGGAGGTGAATAGAGAACAGGAAGCCCAAACTTACACCGGATCCCATAGATGGTGAGAGGGTCAAGCTGCTTCTTGCCGTGCTTCCCCTGGCCTGAGAGGTTGGAGACGGCCTGCACCTCCCGGTGGAAGAGGTAGTCCAGCAGCGTCAGCGCCATCTTCTCGGCGGTGCGGCAGTTGGTGCTGATGTGCAGCATGTCAGAGGGGATGATGGCACAGCGCACCCGCATCTCGGGGTTGTTCTCGTCCCCCAGCCAGGTGCCATTGGGGTAGTCCTCTAAAAGAGAGAAGGGGGTCTCAGACAAGCTTATACACTCAAAGGGCCCAGTGCTCAGCTCAAATACACACAAGAGAGATCTGTGGGGACTGGTTGGCAAATCGCTCCCCCAACTTCCAAAGTATTTGCCAGGAAGACTGGGACAATTCCTACGGTCACTAAAGAGTGGTATGGGAGCTTACGTCTGATGCAGAACAGCAATGAGGACATCATTCCCAAAATAGCAGCCTGGGTGTCTGTTGATCCATCTCAAGAAGATAAATTTAACATGTTGTAACATATAAATGTTCTGCCTTCGAGACTGGCTTCCACAGGGGTAAACCCACCTGGCTAACTCAGTTAAAAGCAAACAAAATGCTGTGTGCTATAGGCATGTTTGCCACCTACCCGATGGCATACCCAGAGTTCTCACAAGTCTGATAATGGGTGGCTGCGGAGGCTTTGCAGTGCCAGCTGAGGACGCTGCCTGGACCCCACACACAGGCCTGCCTGTGTCTGGAAGAGGCAACATAAACAAGCTCTGGCCTCAAACCCCAGATTCTCTTTACAACTCCAGCATGGTAAAGAGCTTTAAAAAAGACTTGTGTATGTTTTCAGCGTTGCCCCACACCTGGAAGGGCAGTAAACTACAGCAGTCTCAGAACGCCAACGTCAGGAATGAGAGAAGGAGGCCACTCCTAGAACATACTCCCTCTGGTTCCGCGCACTTTGACTCTGGGCCATGAGCATAGGGCAGCCATGCAGAATGTTCTGTCTCTAGGATGAAAATCAACGCACAATCCTGTGTTTAGAGGACTTTGTAACTCAAGTCTCCACTTAGAACTGCTCTGAGAAGAAGCTGCTTAGAAGCTGAGCAGTTCTAAGTGAATCAAATGATTTACATGATGTAAGCTATTGTTCTGACCTGCTGAGGAATTAGCAGGGTGGCCAGTTCAGCATGACAAAGGGCTGGAAGTGATGCCAAGTTTCCCGCACTCTCCTCTCCTCACAGAGTCCTTCCACTGTCCTGCCATGTGATCCTCCCTCCCTCCCTTGACCTCCCAGCAGTGAACATGAAGTGTACAGATAGGAAGTGCCTCCCAACTTCCTGCTCAGAAACAGGTGATCCCTACCCTCTCCTCTCCTTATGGCCACATTTCCTTCCCTGCCATTCTTTCTTCCTTTAACCCTGTGGAATGCACCATTTACGATTTTTTTAAGATCTCAAAGTTTACCAATAACAGAATGAACACCTCCAAGCTTTGCATCTACAAGCCCCAGACTTTGGCTTTCTCAAGCGTCATCTGAAATGGAAACACACAGAGCTCAACATTTATGCGTGGGAAGAACCCCACTTCACTACCTTAGGCAAGGCCACAGTGATGATCACAAGTCACGCACGATGTAGAGAGAGAAGGGGGCGGGCAGTGAGGCGGCTAGCTTTCTCTCCTACCCAGAAGGAGAAGCACTTCACTTATGATAACGAACCAAGGGAACTATTGATTTTGCTTGGAAACTAGGCAGCTTTCCAAACAATCTCTTCTGACCCTAAAGTGGAAGCAAGTTCAGGTACGAAAAAAATAGTCCCTGCACAAATATGCCAATATGGGAGGGTAGGGACATTGACAGAGAGAGTTAAAACCTCTCTCTGGATGTCTGGATCAGAGAGGGACATCAGCTTTCTGCCAAGTGTCTACCAGGCCTGTGGGCTACTGAGTCATGTCACACCCACGGTCATCACTGTGTCAAGATTTCTCATTAGATTCATTGTGAAATGTCCTGATATTTATATTCCAGCCTCTATGCACAGAAGAGGTCCTCACAAAGGCTGGCCAGCCCTGCCTTGTTTTGCCAAAGGCCTGGAGCAAAGCAGAAAAGCAAGTGACTAGCGTCTGTGACTCCTATGTCCTGCCCCTTTTAGAGGCAGCCTCTCCCAGGCGAGCTTCTGAATCACGAGATTTCCATGAACATCAGGCGAGGCCCAGCAGCCTCGGCAAGATGACGACATCACCACTGGGGTGGACCGGCAGCTGGAAGGACTGCTTAGGGCGGCTGAGGCCGGGTTTCTGGCTTTAGCTAAGGACAGAAAACAACTGACAAATCTATTTTTTAGAACTCAGAGTAAGAGATGAGTAAGCAGTATCATTTCTCAGAAACATCGAAGGTTTGGAAGAACAGAGGTGGTACACCATGGGCATATGCTCAGATATGTACGTTTTTCTGAACACTGGTCAGTTACTATCCTCACCAGCCAGGATTCCCTACTCCTGGTTCAGAATCGCCTCCTCACTGCTTTGGGTCGAATGTGAGTGAACAAACTGAAATACTCAATGCCCTCAATGGACTTCTGAGAACCCAAGTTAACCAGGAGAGCTGCCCACACTGAGCTCATGAGCAGAGGGAAGGGTTGATATGATGAATAGAGAAGTGACCACTGCAATATGGGAAGTACCACACAACAGAGGGGCAGAGCTGACCACTTCAGATGGAGGCCAGGGCCAGCCTCAGTAATGAGAAGACTGCAAGCAGACATGGCAATGAACCACCCATGGGGAGAACCACAGAAAAGGTTCCAGAAAAGAGAGCAGCTTGCACAGACCTGGGTAAGGAAGGGCCACGTGCTCTGGGAATGACATGGAAACAGCAGGGTCAGAGCAAGGAACATAGGGCAGATAGGTGAGGACAGAGGAGTGAACAGGAAGTGACACAATCTGTGCTGAGAATGAATACAGATGGGAGATGGGGTGAAAGAGGACACAAATGGCCACTTCTGGGGCTACTTAGCAGTCGAGGAAGGACCCACGGCATATGGCCATTAAATTTCAGGACAGGATATATAGTGTGTGAACCTTCCCATGTTCAAGCGCTGATGCTAACGGGCCGAATACAATCAGACTGAGGGTGGTATCTAATGACACCACACATCTTTGGGCTTAAATGTCTAAACAGGAAGATCCTATGTGAGTCCACAGGGAGGGGAGGCAGCATCCTGAGCCACCTGGGGTGTGAGGCGATGCCACCCTGCCTCCTTGACCACCATTAACACTGCCCATGGGCCAGTGCAATAATGGTGGCCTGGGGCTCTGAGCGTAACTACCAACACTGCCAAAGATCGCGGTAGCCTTTCTCCGGGATAACAAGTAAAGTGAACTCTGCTTAGCAAGCTCCCCATGTTTACATAATATTTTTTAAACAATGTAAACTCTGGACAACAGTTCAGTGTTGTTTTCCCAACAGCAAGTTGATACCTTGGCGAAGTGATACTGAGACTATGCGTGGGATGCTGGCAGGGAGGCCCTTCAGTCAAAAGTTCTCTGTAAACTCGCTGTGAACCCCACTTCTTACTCTGGCCCCGAGAACCAGCTTCCTGTCAGGCTGCCCGCCACAGTCAGTCCTCTCCTTCCATCGAAGCCATGCTATCTACACTGTGAGTTCTCCTGCTGGCACCTCAGTGTCTAAGCCCTCCCAACCTCTCAAATCACAGGCTGTGGGGGAGGGTCCAGAAGCAAGGCGGCTTCTGATGCTCACACACCTGTGCTAAGAGCACTTCATCTTGTCCAAACCTTGTACTCCACCCTGGTGCTCAAACAATGACATGTGGGAGGAAGGGCCATCCTTCTTCCAAATATCACCCATTGCAGAGCCTCACGGTTCCAGCAACAGCCAAGATAACATGCCAGAAGGCTGGTGCTGTGACATTCCATTTACATGGACGCAGGAAACACCCACGTAAAGGCAGATATTTGCAAACTGATTCAAGAAGAAGAATGGAAAAGTGACTTCATCTATTCAACTTATGAAAGCAAAACTTGATGCTAAATGAATAAAAAAAATTACAAAAAGACTCATTTTATGTAAAAAATTAATCATCGGTAAGACTGACTAATCAATCAGAAATTACTCAGGGTTGATAGACATCGCTGCTAACAGTGTTATAGAAAGAAAATCAAAGAGCACGATGTGATGAAAACTGTAGCATCGGCTTCTCAGCTGAGAAAGCAAATGTGTCCAACATGGAGCACGAGAAACACGAACTGGGAAGGGCAGGTGAGGCTGCCTGCACGGGCTCAGAGGACCCTCTAGGGCTGTTTCCTCACTGGGCCAACCATTAGGAAGTCAGCTTCAACATTTCCACTGCTGCCTGCGGAGGCCTACCTATGGACGCAAGCTTGTCCTCAGTGCTAAGCAGACAAACTTCAGGAAATGTAACCAGAAAATTCTGAAGGATGAAAGATGTCATTTTAAACTACTACAGTAGTTATTATTTCAGGGAATATTGCTCCCCCCCTCCCCACCAAAAAAAGTAAATTAATCTAATAATTAACTTTCCTTATTTTCTCTCCACTATTACTCCAGAAAATAATGGCTTAAATTTCTCTGATAACATAGGACATTACCCAGAAACTTTGTTTCAAGCAAGTATCTAAAGATTTGAGAAAGCATTAAATAATCCATGTATAGCCTACTCATTCCTAACTGCACTTAAACACTCTGGGAATTGCAGTTGTATGGTCATCTCTCAAGCAAGAAGCCCAGGCTAAGTGGTCAAGAAATACAGGCTGCAGCAATTCTGCCCAACACAAAGGTGAAAAATCACTGCCATGGGAATAGGGGACTCATTTCAGAGGGAAGAGAGGACCAGGGCTCCACCATCACCATCCACGGGGCTCTGGTGAGACAGGCAGCACTTCTGAGCCCCTTGGCAAGGAGAGAGGCTCATCTCTCTCCTTGCACATTTCTCATCCGGGTCATGCCAGGCACACCTGCTGACTCAGCTCTGCTCCCCTGGAAATAAATCCTCAGCCCTAACTCACCTCTGACTCTGAGCCAGAGCCCAGTCTGGATCTCTGCTTCTCACCAGTGACAATGAATCAGGTCTTTCAAATGGAAAACAAGACAAGAGTACTTGCCCACATAAATATTTGAGAAACTGAGAAATTCGCCTTTTGACAATTCAGAAAGGATGTATTTATTTTACTAAAATCGCTTGGTCCAGTTTTGGCATCTGAAACAATAGAAAG